TTCATCATCAAGTATAGAGAAAGGAAATAGACTTACACATTCTTTACAAATCCAAGATGCCCATATGCCAGATGACTTTTTAGATACCGGTGTAAACCTAATATGAGACCCATTTTTACATAGTGCGCAGAAGATGCTCAGAATCATACTTTTTTGACACTGCGAACACTGATCTTGTTTAGTCATATTATGAAAGGAGTAAACATAGTACAGCAACATGGATTCCTTATGTCATTACCTCATTTCTTCTTGGCTTATGTGAAGGTGGATGCACGATGAGCTTGTCATATCGTAGGTAAGCTATATCACCTCTCTCTCGTGCAGCTTTCATCTCTGGCAAAAGTTCTCTCCGCTTCTGCCGAACTGTTTCAGAGAAGTCCTCATTTATATAGACGTTCGACCCCTTCAGGGTTTTTGCTTTAGCCAGAATGGAGAGTTTGTCCTTATGCCTTAGAAGCTTCACTGTAATTGGACGGGGTTTGTTGCCCATTGGAGCAGGTTTACCTGAACGATGAGCACGTTCAATTTCAATCTGACGGTGATCTAATTTCATCTTCTCTGAAAGAAGGCTCCTAATTTTATCTTCTGTCTCCGACACAGCACTATTACTTTTTTTACCCCAGCAGATGGAGCAAAAAGGATGTGAGTACAAGATACGATCTGTGGGTCGCTATAATACGGGGAATATCATAATTTTAATACAGTGCCTGTGACGTCAACAGCGCCTTTTTGAAAAGTTGAAAGAATTTCAACTTGAGCGTATGGACGTGCAGCACTTTTCTTCTTGGTGCACAAGCGCTTCATGCAGACACTTCTGAGCGTACAGCCAGCGGTTTTCTGCCCGGAAATACTCACTAGAATGTGTGTGAATTGAATTTCGCCTCAGTCTGGTAGTAGCTCGCTTGGTAGGCAGTGTTCTCCAGATTAGTGGGAGTGGGCTGCAGTGCTGAGTCTGGGAGTTGTTGTCTTTCATCCACATGAGCCAAAAAGACACTTTCTGCCTTTTCTCAGTCAAGAAGGCACCAACTTCAAAATGTATTTCACATTTCTACGTATATGACCCAATGTCAATACAGATTCATGTTTCAACCGGTGAAGTATCCCTTCAAATAAAGTTTTAAAAATGTTATGTTATGACCATGAAATCGTTTTCTTAAAACAACTTACATCACACATAACCCGGATCATGTTTGAGAAATCCTCTGCAAAGAAGCATGGAAGGCCAAGTAGGGCATCTGTAAGTCTGTTTTGGTTTGAATCCTACAAAGGTGGGGGGGGAAATCAGGTCAATATTACCAGCGGTTGAACATTTTTTTTAAACCTTTACTTGAAAGTACAAATACATACTGAAATATCATCCACTGCATTACATTATGTTTGGTGTCACTGTCCAGTGAAAAACCATGTCCCTCGAAAATCCTCTTTTCATGAGCTCTCAAACCAGGTCTTATTTTAGCTGTGTGATAATTTTTCCAGTAATTTCAAAACAATTTAAAGAAAAAAGTCATTTCAGACTGAAGGATGAGTCATCAGTAGGCATGTAAAGATCACACACGCACGCAATAATAAAAAGTCTGTAAGAACCATCAGAAAAAACAGTCGTCTGCTTAGTTGACTTTGGACTTTTCTGGGCATGTCTCTCTTTCTGCCGTTACTCAGGGGATGCGTTGAGACCATGCTGCATTCAGGGGTGCTCAGACAACGAGAGATACATTCAGGTGCGCTCAGAAACGGAAGTTGCAGTAACAAAAACTAAGCTGGACAGACCGTTACGAGTTCAAATAATTGTTCAGTTGTTATATTGACTGCTGTCATTAAAAGAAACACATGAACACCATGATTCCTGTGTCTGTGGTGTTATCCAACTGACACCCCCCCCCCTCCTCAGAGCTCTAAACCTAGGGGAAACACTGTAAAATAAATTGTGAAACAATCGTATCGTGAACCCAGTATCGGGAATCGTATTGACAGTTGAGTGAATCGTTACATCCCTAGTCATCAGGCATGTAAAATGTTTTACAGGAAGAGAACTTTTTTGATTATTTAGATGCAAAATACTCAGATAATGCTTTATTGAAATATATTTGGCAAATAAATGAACATTTAACACAAGAACGCCGGATTAAAACCGGGAAAATGTATTTTTGATTTCATGGGGACTTTAATGTTTATCTCTACACAGTGCTTACATCTTTCCCAAGACACTGCAGAATTCTTCTCAGGATTAACCTCTTGTTGGATGTGACACCTGACTGGTACAACTCTATAAGGTTTGGTAACAAGGCATCTAGTCCACCAAAGAAAGACTCCATCAGGTCTGTGGTGACAATCCTCCTGAACTCTGAATTTAGCTGAAACATATGGATAACAGAGAAAAAAGGTGACCTAAAAGAGCAGCATAAAGCTATACGCAGGGCCTGAAATTAAATTTTATAAATCTTTATAATGCTGTAATAGTCTTTGTTGTCCACTGAAAGAAAATGCACAAAACTTACATTTCCACCTCATCAACTGTTTACCACTCATGCGCGCGCAGCACAAAGGGGAAAATACAACTTTCAAGTCATTATCTAAAATTAAAATACATTATTTTTTACTCACTGGTCAATAAAAATTATGAAGTTTAATATGATTCCCCGTTCTTATCCACCTTGTAGCGAGTTGGCCATGAAACTTGAGTTTAAGCAGCACGGCAAATAAGCTAGCACTCGGCCACGAAGGAAGGAGCATTAGCTAATGACACGACGTTGCATTTTGCCTTTCCGGACATTAACTACCTACAACAAATTAATTGATCCTACAACTGATAACAACAACAAAAACAATAAAATGACTTATTAATAATGATAATATATTAAACTTACATCCAAGTCCGAATGCTGTCGGTTCACCGAAGACGTTCTCTCTCCCTACGGCTGCTTCACAGGACCGTTGAATTACTCCGCCTCCGTTCAAGCTATGTTATCAGGCGCACGGACTTCCTCCGCCGCAGGAAAGAGTCCTCTATTGTTGTCCAAATTTAGGTTGAAATTCGAATGAAGAGCAGATATACACTATACAATGTGTACTTTTGCCTATTTCTTACCATGGTTTAAAGAACAGTGATTCTGTCAAAGTCCTGGCTGTAATGAAGATAATAAAACTAAACTCAGTTGGGACACTAGTCTGTTGCTTTCCACTGGATTCACTCAGGTGTGTCGGCCAGAACACCACTTCAGGCCTTATTCCAGAATATGAATAACAAGAGGGCAGATTTGGTTGAATGGCTGTTTACTTCTTCCTCATAGTGAAACAAAATACAGGCATCTCAGTGGCCATTCAATATGACAGAGTATTGGGTCTTGTTGTGGTTTTCTATAAGAAAAAGAATAGCAGAATATATACTTAAGGAACACATCTGAATGCTTCATCTTACCTCTATAATAACATACAAAACACTACACAGTAATGTAATAGGTTATAATATGTAAATAAATAAAGGTAAGCTACATGTCTCTTTAACCTAAAGTATTAAGCACAGAAAGGCTATCGTAGGCTTAACAGTCATACAATCATTTCCCTATAAAAATACTACGATGCTTTTATTGTGAAGCACGGACATCAAACTTTCCTCCTCGTGCAGAGAGCAACACAGTTAGTAAGCATGTCGGGCCGTGACGTCGGCTAATTAGCATATCCAGAATACGCCGAACATCTAAGCTCTAAACTCTGGCTCCGCAGGAGTTAACAACTTTGCCTCAACATTAAAGAACACACAATGTCACATATAAGACTTCAGGTAAGTACTCACTCTTTTCATTCACGCACAACCAACTTCTGAAGTGATTACTCTGCACACTGATGGCTCATCTGTCATCGACTGATGCACACTGCTCATTACTACATGATGTAATTCTCTAAAATGACCAGCAGGTGACACCTCTTCCCTATTGAGCACAATATCATCACATTGATTTCTGCAAGTTTCACTTTTGAAAACTCATAAATGTAAGTTAAAAATCTAAAACTTGGGTCGGTTATTTGAGTTAAAGAAAATAAGTTAGTGGAGATAACTAAATTGGGCTGTGATGTTTTACAGTGTATACTTAGTACATATCAATCTTAATGTTGGGCAATTCCAACTATGTGTGAATAGGCTCCTATACTGACTTTGTTAAGTGATATATAACTTAAATCAAATATTAATCAGAAACAATCACAAGATTTCTTAACCTTAAAAAATAAATACATAAATAGATGTAAATATACGTAAATTGTACAAAAATATACAACATAAATACATTGTTGATTTCACAATGAACAGAATGCAAAAACAGAATGGATCAATACTCATGAAATGAATATAGACTGTGTGTAGTATAAATCACTCTGTAGGCCTTTTTTTATCAACACTGCCATCAAGTGGTGATAAAGACATAAAGTGAGACGATCATAAGATGAATACTATGGAAGTGAATAGTGATCAGAATTCAAATGATAACATGTAATCATTTAAATAAAAATGCACATTCTTTGACTAAATTAAAATGAAAAAGAAAAAGACATTTGCTTTTTCAGTTTAAAAAATGTGCATTTTTGAAGTTGAAAACTAAAATTCTATTCAGATAAATTAGCCATAATTTTATTTTTGAGTCAAATAATACTCCCATATTCTGAAAATTAAAAAACATTTCTGTTGATGGATTTTAATTTTCAAATTAGCTTTATCATTTGAATTCTGATCACTAATCGCTTCCATACAATACTATCTACATTCTGTAAACATGTTTAAGACACAAACCTTACAAACCTAAATAAATTAAAAATACATTCAAATATAAATTGTTTGTAAATGAGAGACACAACGAAAGCATACTGCTCCTGTTTCTTTAACAGCCCGCACAACCTTCAAAAAAAGATTTGGCATCGTGACTAAACTGTCAAAGCCCAGTTTCCTGTTTGATTTCAAACTAAAAGCACAGAGGCTAAATACAAACAGCAGGTGAGTGAAAGTGGTGGGGAAAAAAAGAAAGAAAATAAGACAAAGCCTATTTAATTTTTGTTTTTAGTTAAAACGGACTGTCTTCTATTGATAACATCTGTACACCGAAGCTGGGAAACACACCTTTTCAGGTGGGCACCTGAGAGCAGATGAACAAACAGTGTGTCTGCATATAAAACCAATAGTTAACATTGTTCCGTCCACATATTAAGAGATATTTGAAGTTTGAAAAAGTAGCCTAACTTAAGCCGTGTAGCCTCGCATGTAGGCGTCGTGACTACACAATGGTCGAGCTTCTACCTTATTGTGAAGGTCGGAGGTATACACAGACCGGAAGCTCAGATGTTAACATCTGGACGAGACACTGTCGTTTAGAACCTTGCCTGTTTGTCTGCATCCTACAGCCGCGCCCCTTTGTGTTGCCTGAGCCCAACTGCTCCAAGAAGTGTTGACTTGATCCTGTTCTGACTTGTTGGAAGGAGAAATAACAACCCACGAGTTGTTGGAGTTAAATCAGAGAGTAAAAGTGTTTTTTCTGTTCCTGCACTCGCGACGACAAAGTGAAAGTGAAAGTACACTGAAGGTACGACGGCGGCTGCGGAGCATACCTGTGATTATTCTGCTGCTCTGCAATGGGTTGCTTTTATTTCCTGGCCTCGTTCTTATTTACCTCCTGCCTCGGTGAGTTTTTCTTCTTTACCATTCTGCTGTTTTTATCTTGAGACTTAATGAACCTACAGAGCTGCAGACCTCACCACGAGCAGGACCAGACATGTTCAGTAATCATTAATACAAAGAGGGTTCAATAGTTCACTGCAGCTAAAAACTGTTTCCTTATCAGACATGTACATAAGTTTTGACCTGTGCAGTATTTTTGCTTTTAAAAATGCATAATTCACATGTTTATTATGAAGTAATAGACTTTATAGAAACACAGCATTACTTTGATATGGTTGTTAATAACAGACTAAGAAATACACCTGATGATATTAGTCTATTTCATGTTTACTTTTATTTGTTTTAACTTTGTATTCAAATGTTTAACATCGACTTTACACTTGTTACACATGAACAAACTAAACACACATCTTCACCACTCTTTACTCAGCATGTATCATCATGAAGTGTTAATCCTGGGACAATGGCAGAGACGTGTTCTCTGGTCATTGTTCAGGCAGAAGTTTGACATATTTTTACTGAGCGGAATCATACTGAAAGTTTTGACAGATAGATCTTGATGCATGGTTTTGTTCTCCGACTTAGAAAATATTCAATTCATGTAACACAAATAAAAGCCGGACTATCTCACAATTAAGACACTGGAACAAGGATTCTGGAAACATAAGTTGAAGGAGAATTTGTTGTTAGTCAGGGAGGTGTTCAGGTACAACTGCTTGTGTTTTAAGTGAATAAAATGTTAAACAGCTGATCTGTCTCCATGGTGATCCAATAACTGATGAAGTCTGTCAAATGCTGCTGTGTCGCCATAGGAAGTTGTTTAAATGACCTAGACTAAAAGTGACTTAGTCCTGCATTGAGATTAAAAATCTTATTTACAAGAGTAAAGCAGTACAATAAACACATTACAGACATAAACACACAGAGTAATCACAAACACAGATCAACATCCTGAGTCACAGAGAAGAAAAGTTAATTATTCAAAGCATCTTCAACCTGAAGCATCTTCCTCCAACACCTTCAGACTACTTTAAAAAAAGATTTAAAGAGACAGACACAGATCATCCTGCAGGAGATTCCAGACCGCATGAGCATCTTACCTTAAAGTCCTTTTCTCCATTTTTTTTATTTGGATTAAAAAAAGAAAGTTCTAGCCTCATATCCAAAAGTACGACGGAGGATTTAGGCCATGTTAAAAAATTATTATTTTTTTTTTAATTTTGAGATTAAACTCATAAATTTACAAGAATAAAGTCGTAAATTTAAAAAATAAAAAAATGTAACAAGGCCGTAATCCTCCGTCGTACAAAAATGTTTTTAGTAACTTGCTGTTTTTTCTCCATCCACATTTATTATGAGTACAATATATTAATAACAGATAATAATGCTCGAGTACAAAAACAGGATTAACGGTCTCTAAATTCTATAAACACGTTTCATTAGAGTTGTTTTAAATATGCAGAACCCTTACAAAGACACATGCTTCATATTCTCATACCTCTCTATGATCAGTTCTAGGTGCTGAATCGCCTACAAAATATGTCCTCAAGGGGACGGGGGAGAGCTTGAAGCCGACCTTTTCTGGACAACCAAATTCAATTCTGTGGAAACATAACGGAAACAAAGTGGTGGAGTTTGACAGCAGAGAGGAACAGGTGTACGGAGCGTACAAAAACAGGATCACTCTCGACTGGGCCACAGCAGAGCTCGAAATCACCGGCCTGAAGTTTGAAGACAGAGGACTCTATGAAGTGGAAGTCGACATCAACAACATGTTACATCTGTCAGAATTCAAACTGGAGGTCATAGGTAAGTTTAACATTGAACACACAGATTATAATCAATCCATCCTACAGCTGGAAGAGGGTTAAAAGTAAAACCTCAGAGTAAAATGTGAATAGAAACAGAAAGGGATGATTGGAAACATTGAAACCCCGTATGGAATTGAAAATAGCACAAAGACAACCTGCTAAATGTTGAAACTGTGAAATGACATTGTTTAATTTTCACCAAAATGTCCAACTTTTTGGAAACCAAAGTTTTTTTCATGAACATTTTCAACATTTTTTGAGGCCGAAATTTTTCACAAAAATGTTCAACTTTTTTTGATTTTGAATTAAATTTAATTCCAAAATGTAGGTTGGTGAAAGTTGGTGCAGTAGCACAGAAGCTGATGGAACATGTCAAAGTTTAGAAGGTGAACTGGCTACAGGTTAGTAACATGATGGTTTAAAAAAAAGATGTGAAGGGCGTCTGTGAAAGTCTGTGCTGAGGTGAAACAATTAGAATCTTGTTGTTGTTTTTTTTACTTACAATTGAAATGAATGTGGGGTGTTCATTGTCTGCAAACTTTACATCATATAAAAAGATTCAGAGAATCTAAAGAAATATCTGTAAGTGGAGGACAAGGCCAACAAAACAAACTGTGTGTCCCTGAGACAGCCCTGCTTTAAAAACAGATTCTGTAGTGGACACGGCATTGGCTCAGAAACAGAGTTCTAGCTAGCTGGAAAAAAACTCCTTAATGTACGTCGCTTTGGACAGAAGCATCTTGTGAATGAACTGTAGAATCAGGCACACAACAGAGAAATCTAAAGAAACTGCTGAAGCTGTGAAGAAAAGCTGAAACATCAGAAGATGAGTTATTTTTCCAGAAATCAGTTTTAAACTTTGTGGCTTTAAGCCCTCAGAAGCTGAACTGAATGGATGTGCAAGGCTGATACAGATTCAGTGAGTCACACTGTTGGGCTGTAAAATCTGCTTTATGTAGAATATTACCAATGATCAACTTCAGACCTGTTATAAAACCTTTCACCACAGGTTTTATGGCTGTTGTGGGGATATCTTTATAGACTTTGTACTTTTGGCAACGTTCATATTTCAAGTCGCTCATTCAAGTCGCTCATTTCCAGTTTGCCTACAGGCAAACTGGAAATTTCCCCTGCATATCACCTCACACCCATCATCCCCCCACCACTCCTCCTGGTCACACACACACATCTCTCATCCATCTGTATTATTGTATTATAGTATGTTCATATTATGTCCATATTCTTTATATTATCTGTAAACTAGTATAGCATGATCACTGCATCTTAATCTGTATATTATTAGTATAGCATGATCACTGCATCTTAATCTGTATATTATTAGTATAGCATGATCACTGCATCTTAATCTGTATATTATTAGTATAACATGCTCACTGCACCTTAATCTGTATATTATTAGTATAGCATGCTCACTGCATCTTAACCTGTATATTATTAGTATAGCATGATCACTGCATCTTAATCTGTATATTATTAGTATAGCATGATCACTGCATCTTAACCTGTATATTATTAGTATAGCATGCTCACTGCATCTTAACCTGTATATTATTAGTATAGCATGATCACTGCACCTTAATCTGTATATTATTAGTATAGCATGATCACTGCACCTTAATCTGTATATTATTAGTATAGCATGCTCACTGCATTTTAACCTGTATATTATTAGTATAGCATGATCACTGCACCTTAATCTGTATATTATTAGTATAGCATGCTCACTGCATCTTAACCTGTATATTATTAGTATAGCATGATCACTGCACCTTAATCTGTATATTATTAGTATAGCATGATCACTGCATCTTAATCTGTATATTATTAGTATAGCATGCTCACTGCATCTTAATCTGTATATTATTAGTATAGCATGCTCACTGCACCTTAATCTGTATTTTATAATCCTAAAAACACACTTATTTTGTAGCATTATTTATTTATATTTATAGCATCCCATTAATCCAGCCATCCAGATTTACCTAATAACTCACTTTTTTTGTCTACTTCTGTAAATTTTGCAATTACTGTACATAGCACAGAATTACTGTACATAGCACAGACTCTTGCACTCAATTACTGTACATAGCACAGACTCTTGCACTTTCTGCTTATTTGCACTTCTGGTGAGATGCCAAACCTCATTTCGTTACTCTATACTTGTATATGTGTAATGACAATAAAGTTGAATCTCATCTCATCTCATCTCATCTCATTATTCTATCACATTCTACACTTCAGGCGGTCAGAACAATCCTTTTCTCACTTTAAATTACCGTGGGCAAGTAACTGTAACAGGACTCTAAAAGGAACTGAAGGGCACTGTAGAGGGGAGATCAAATATTATCTTTTTATATATGTGTGCTATCAAATGGGTTTTATAGTCCTGGATCTACAGAGCTGTTTCTCTACTGAACTCTACCCCCGAACTCTGAACTCTGTCTCTCTCTCTCTCTCCCTCTCTCTCTCCGCCCCCTGCTGACCCCCCCCTTTCCCCTGCATATCACCTCACACCCATCATCCCCCCACCACTCCTCCTGGTCACACACACACATCTCTCATCCATCTGTATTATTGTATTATAGTATGTTCATATTATGTCCATATTCTTTATATTATCTGTAAACTAGTATAGCATGATCACTGCATCTTAATCTGTATATTATTAGTATAGCATGCTCACTGCATCTTAATCTGTATATTATTAGTATAGCATGCTCACTGCACCTTAATCTGTATATTATAATCCTAAAAACACACTTATTTTGTAGCATTATTTATTTATATTTATAGCATCCCATTAATCCAGCCATCCAGATTTACCTAATAACTCACTTTTTTTGTCTACTTCTGTAAATTTTGCAATTACTGTACATAACACAGAATTACTGTACATAGCACAGACTCTTGCACTCAATTACTGTACATAGCACAGACTCTTGCACTTTCTGCTTATTTGCACTTCTGGTGAGATGCCAAACCTCATTTCGTTACTCTATACTTGTATATGTGTAATGACAATAAAGTTGAATCTCATCTCATCTCATCTCATCTCATCTCATTATTCTATCACATTCTACACTTCAGGCGGTCAGAACAATCCTTTTCTCACTTTAAGTTACCGTGGGCAAGTAACTGTAACAGGACTCTAAAAGGAACTGAAGGGCACTGTAGAGGGGACATCAAATATTATCTTTTTATATATGTGTGCTATCAAATGGGTTTTATAGTCCTGGATCTACTTTTTTACGATGGCCTTGGTATCAGCCGAGAGGTGTGCCCTTGATAAAAAACTAATTGTTCAAGCATCTGAAGACGGTTTATATTCAGTGTCAAAGAAGAAGTTACTTTCACTCTCTTAAGTCACAGAACATAGTGAACACCGTGTGTGTGTGTGTGTGTGTGTGTGTGTGTGTGTGTGTGTGTGTGTGTTTGACCTCAAACCCGTTCTGATAAGCAGTGTATGCCCTTTATACCCGACATTATGTTATCATATTATTCACTTGTTTGCACAGATTTTATGTTTCTTTGTATACAAACCAGGACCCGACACATATGGGATTTTTGGGGCCGATATATCGAAATAATTTGCTCAAGGGCGACATCTGCTGGATCAAAAAATCACATATAAAGCCTTTAAACACTAATTTATACTTAGAAATGAACAATTATTATTAAAAACTATGTAAAACATAAATAAACTTAAATTGAAGAAACCTCGTTAAATTGGCTCATATCAGAGATAAAATTAGTCGATACCAATAGTGATGTGATGAGCTCATATCAGCATCCGATACATACGTAACATACTACAATGATTTCAGTATGTATTCATTTATTTCTTTATTTTTTTTACATGTTTCTTCAAGACAAGGTTGCCATGCCGACCATATCTTGTGAGTTAAACAAAGACGGTGGCTCCGATGTTTCTGAGGTCCGGGCGACGCTGCTGTGCTCTGCAGACCCCACCCCACCTGAGTCCATGATGAAGTTTGAGTGGAGAGCACGGGGAAAATCACAACCGGGACACAAGTTTAATATTTCTCTGGGAGACGAACGAGATAACGAAGAATACAGATGTTCAGTCAGCAACCCTGTGAGCAGTGAGACGGCGACATTCACAGCAAAGGATTGTTATCACGGTATGATCTCATGTATAACTGGACGTTCAGGTTTCTGATTTGGTCATTTTGAAGTGAACGTTCTTTTAGAAAACTTGAAGCTTTGTTGCCAAGTTACACTATTTCTCACCAGGGTTTGACAGGAAGTTGAATGAAAAAATATATATTTATATATTTTAATGAACCTTTATTTAACCAGGTTGGTCCCATTGAGATTAAAAACCTCTTTTTCACTGAGACCGAGCCGAGACAGGCAGCAGCAAAAACACAAAGTTACAGACGGAAACACAAAGAGAGACAAATTACAGTTTACAAAACACAACATTTTGGATTAAAATAGAACCATCTATGAGTCATATCTGGGAATCAGTCGTTCAAACAGCTAAAACATCGACATCCTGTAGAATCTGCTTCCATGTCTTTCATTTTAGATTTAAAAACATTTAAGGACTCCAGCTCCTTGAGCTTTAAGTCATTCTGTAACAGATTCCAGGCTGAGGGTGCAGAGGACCCAGAAGCCCTTAAGATCCCTTTGACTCAAGGATTCAAAGTTGTTAACAAAATAAATAAATCAATCAATTTTTTATTAATGTTAACTCATAACAAGTGTTATCTCGAGACACTTTACAAAAAGCAGGTAAAAGACCTTACTCATTGTGGGTCTCAAAGAGGGATAGAGAGCAAGGGGGTGGGGGGGTGATGTTCTGGCAGGGCGTCAACCAAAGATCTCGAGGAGCCTAAGAGAGCTCAAGAGCTCTCCTAAATCAATGTTTTGGTTGTTGTAAAAGAGAGACTCTGTATTCTCCTGTTGTTACAGTTCTACAGTAAGTTGTTTTGGTGATGAGTGATCTACGTCCCTCTAACTTTTGACTCTTGTGTTTCTGAAGATAATTCATCTGTAGCTGTGGCTGTCAGTCTGACTGTCGTTGGTTTAATCGTACTCATGTTGATCATCATCTTCTGCAAAAAGAGACAAAAAGGTAAAGTAGAAAGAAATTACACTTTCATTAGAAAAAATGATACTGAAAACATTTCTCAGGATGTAGATTCTAAAGAGAACGACCTGATAAGTAACATGTATGTTTATGAGGTCCAGGTATTCAGAAAGCGATGTGGAACAGTTCAGCGCTCAATACGTTTTCAAAGAGGAAAGGTAGTTTGTGAAGAAAGACAATAATGTTCCCCATTGTCTGAGTAGGTTCTCAGTCATCCAGGTCATGGTACATTTGAAGCTACATTCAAAATCAACTGGACTGGTTGAAGATCTTTTCTTTTTTCTTTTTTTACTTTATTTATATAGATCCTTTCAGACAAATTAAATTGCAGTTCAAAGTGCTTTACAAGAGTGCAGAAAAGTTATTGACAAAAAAGTAGTTTATAAAATCTTTGAGAGACGAATGCACACCAATAAGAATTAAAAAAATATAAAAATTAAAAAATTAAATACGACACATAAAAGCAATAAGATATTAAAATTAATACATAGGAGAATAATATTTAAAATTGTAGTAGGATAAAAAAAGACAATACAGTAATGTTAAGATTTGAATTGATATAAAGCACTATATAAAAGTCGGACTGAATAAATGAGTTTTCAGACTGCGTTTAAAAATCTCAATATTCTCCTCTCAGACCCTCAGGAAGGTCGTTCCACAGTCTCAGAGCGTAACAGCTGAAAGCTTTTTGTCCTGCTCTGTGGAACAACTAAGAGAGAGGAAGTGGAGGATCTGAGGGGTCGTACTGGTTCATAAACTAAAATCATATCTGATAGGTAGTCTGGTACAAGGCCATGTAATGCCTTATAAAGTAATAAAAGAAAATCTTGAACGTCTTCAGAACGTCTTCCAGATCTTCCACCAGTCCAGCTGATTTTGGATCAAGCTTCAAATTCACCATGACCTATTGTGTCCTGTTATTTCAGTTAATTTCATTTTGAATTATTTTTATTTGAACATTTTTTCAGATTGAATAATTTCAGTGATTTTTTAAATGTTCTATTTTAATGTTTCCTTTCTTTCCTCTGTCATGATGCTTTTGATGTCTTGTCTGAAGCACTTTGAGATGAGATGAGATTCAACTTTATTGTCATTACACATATACAAGTATAGAGTAACAAAATGAGGTTTGGCATCTCACCAGAAGTGCAAATAAGCAGAAAGTGCAAGAGTCTGTGCTATGTACAGTAATTCTGTGCTATGTACAGTAATTACAAAATTTACAGATGTAGACAAAAAAAGTGAATTATTAGGTATATATGGCTGGATTAATGGGATGCTATAAATATAAATAAATGCTATAAATATAAGTGTATTCTTAGGATTGTAATATACAGATTAAGGTGCAGTGAGCATGCTATACTAGTTTACAGATAATATAAAGAATATGGACATAATATGAACATACTATAATACAATAATACAGGTGGATGAGAGATGTGTGTGTGTGACCAGGAGGAGTGGTGGGGGGATGATGGGTGTGAGGTGATATGCAGGGGAAAGGGGGGTCAGCAGGGTGCGGAGAGAGAGAGGGAGAGAGAGAGAGAGACAGAGTTCAGAGTTCGGGGGGGTAGAGTTCAGTAGAGAAACAGCTCTGGGGAAAAAGCTGTTCCTCAGTCTGCTGGTTCTGGTCCGGAGGCTTCTGAAGCGCCTACCGGAGGGCAGGAGGGTAAACAGTCTGTGGGCAGGGTGGGAGGAGTCTTTAAGGATGCCGTGAGCTCGCCGCAGACAGCGTGTTCTTTGGACATCCTCAATGGCAGGAAGTGGACACCTTGTGATGCGCTGGGCGGTTTTTACCACCCGCTGTAGCACCTTACGGTCTGTGACAGAGCAGTTTCCGTACCAGACTGAGACACTGCTGGTCAGGATGCTCTCGATCACACAGCGGTAGAAGTTCATCAGTACAGCTGAAGACAGGTGGTGTCTCTTCAGTGTCCTCAGGAAAAAGAGGCATTGATGAGCCTTCTTAACCAGACTGGAGGTGTTAGTGGACTTTGTTCTTTTATTAATAATTAAAATCTTCATATTGTATTAAAACTAACAACATACTGATCTTCTTTTCTCTCTCTCTCCTCTCTCCTTTGCTTCCAGCATGTTTTGCTAAAGGACAACAGGATGATGAGGAGAAACAGACTGAAGGTATGATACTTGATGTTTTCAGGCTGAGACTTCCCTTCTTTTTTTAACAGATCTAAAACTCATAAATATTTGATTTAGAATATAAAACTGTGAAATAGTCTGTATCTGCAGGTCACCTGACAACAGAGAGGATACTCTGGTATGCAGAGCTTGGTTCAAGTGATAGTTTCTGTTGAGCGATTGGATGATTTCAGAGTTTTCATCGATCGTCACTTTTATCTTCTCTGCCCATAAAACTACAATTTATTGTTTGTGATCTGTTTCAGGCTCAGATAAGAAGAAGGCTCAGGGAGGTGAAACCAGTCCTCTTCTTACTGAAACGCCTCTGTCTGATCAGCGACTCAATGTGAGCTACTCTCCAGGTATGCTCCATTGTTTACCTTTAACACAGTTTTGTATTTGAAGAGACAATGTTAGCAAAGTGAAAGACCGTTAGCCAGTTTTCACTCATACATCATTCATTGTGCATATGAACACATTTATTCACATGTGATGCGGTTATCTTTTCCAACATGCAGTTTATAAACATTGCCAATTAGCATTTATCAAATGTATGAAATAGTTGTATTTCACTCTCACTTCTGTCAGCAGAACAAAGTCCTGGAAGTGACACAGCAGCTAGGTTAGCTATGGTGGCTATTTGTCCAAAAAACGAATTAAGTTACAATTCTAAAGAAACCACATGAACTCAACAAACAGCCACTGATGCACCGTTCCAGTGAGGCCTTACGCACACAGTAAGTTCAATGTCCAGTCAGGATCTCTTGTTTCTTCATTTAATTTAAACATTTCTAACTGCATTCATTGACCTGTCTCATCGACATGTGGTAAAAAAACCTGTGTCCCTTCCTGGTGCATCACCCAACAGTGACACACCTGAACATTTAAAGGGGTCCTAATCAACCCATGTGCACTGCCCCCTTCATGATTTACTCAGCTAAATAATATCTTTCTCTTATAACTTGGCTAACAGCGTGAGTCCTGAAAGAAGAACATTTCATATCATTTTATCATTTTCAATATAAAACAATATGTTTTGCTCTTTTATTTTTATTTTAGGGCCTGTTTCCTTTAAAGTACAAAGTTGTTCATTTTTAAAGAATGGGTATCACTGGAACGCCGATAGCCTGGTGGTTGAGGCTGTGGTCCTGGTTGCAGCGGCTGTGGTTCAGGTCTGACCTCGGCCCCGTTCATACTTCTTACTACTACCTCATAGTACTTTCCATCTTTGTACGAACCACTTTTATATCCCCTTGTGCAGCAGTACCAACAACAGGCTTTGGCATCCTCCGTTCAGGTTTTCCAGCACGCTGTTTTTTACGAGGACAGACTGGCCCTCGTCATTATTCCTCCGACCTCGGCCCTGTTTCACAACTTTACTCCATTTCAACGAGTTTGTCGCAGTTTCTCCAGCAGCTGAAGCATCCTCCACCGCCAGATCTAGCGTTACCCGATACAGCCAGTCCTCCGCCATCACTCTGCTTCAACCGGCCCGCCACGGCCGCAACTCTGCTGTCGCAGTACACAGGTCCTCGTCGAGTTTAGCCTGAACTTCCACTGCGTGTCTTCACTGTGCACACGCTCGATTTTGCTCAGCAGGTTAGACACTTCCAGGTTGCTGAACGTCGCAGGCGGCAGCTCGTCCAGGTAGTGGGAGAGGAAACGGGGGGTATCTTCTCCACACTCGTGAAGAACTTTTAGACAACTTTTGATATTGTTCGCATCCTTTTGGTTTTGAAGGCCGCCGCTTGGTCTCAGGACAAAGTTCAAACGACACCTTTTTGGAAGTCTCGATCCACTCGGGAGTCAAATGTGTTTGAGGCTTCAAGAACTAGTTCATCCTGGGTCATCATTTTAATTTGAACTGCTAGGAAATGAAGGAACTCATCCTCTACAATAACTTGGCCATCCACAGGTTTTAATCAGGAGCTACTGATCCATTGTGTTTGCTTGAACAGTTTCAAAGCTTAAATCTTTCTCTCTCTCTTTAAAGCTCTTAGAAGAAATATTTCTGATCATTGAAGAACTTTACATGTCTTGATTGTTTTCATCTTTCCTTCTTCTGCTGTTATTTTTATGAAACAACCCTAACCTTATCCAAATGACTGAACAATCACAGCACATTGATTTAACAATTCAAGAAATAAAACACCCACAACTTTTGAGAAATGTAAAACCATTCTTTCTTACTTTGCCCTCTAGAGCTTACATCCATGTCTGTTACCTGTGTGTATATTTTATTTAGCTCATAGTTTGATTGTGATTTTATTTATAAACAGTACAGAAAGGAGTAACATGATTAATCTGATTTCAGTTCACTGCATGTCATGAATTATTTTGATCTAAAGAATATTTTTCCTTCCAGAACCTGTTGTAGATACGAAGCCACCAGAAGGTAACACCACAACACACATTCTTAATGTTAGCTGAGACACGATATAAGAGAGGCTAGGAATAAAGCTGGTTGTTAAGTTGTGACTCTTTTCTCTTATCAGGTAACGTCAATGAGAAGAAAGAATTCTTTGAAAAAAAGGCTAAAGAAGCTCAACAGACTAAAAACATAACAGGTAATTTTGAATGGGAAGTAGATTTTTTGCAAACAGCTGCAGCTGATGTTTATTTTCATTTCCACAATCAAAAAGCAGAGAGTCCTAACATTTAACAAGGTACAACAAATGAATAGTTGTTGTTGTTTTTACTTATAAATTACTTAAAATATGAATTAAATTCATGTTGATTCATTTTCCACCAATCAGAAAATTCCTGTATCAATCTATTGTTTCTGTACTACTCATTGTTTCTTAATAGTGTTGGGGTTGTATCAAGTCAACTTTGGTTATATTCTTTAATAATTATACTTAATTATTAATAATATAAATAAAATATCATTAAACTATGTTTAATCTCGTTTTGGGGCACCAACCTGTAATCAGGTAAATATAACCAAAATATCACTCAAATCAGTCTCAAATTAGTTATTTAATTACTAATGTTATTAATAATGAATAACTATATTTAATAAATTGAAGGCGTGAAATCCGTACACAAAGCCTTCGCACCCAGCTTATATCACAATGCAAATACACCAGTAATTCACAAACAACTGCTCTCTTAAATTATAACAGAATTTATTTAAACAAAGCAACATCAATCCAAAATCAATGAACTTAATTAAACAAATAACTATTATAAACTAATCTAAGCAACAAACATTATCAAGCAAAGGCTTGTGGAAGGGGTGTGAATGTAGGTGTGTGTGTGTGTGTGTGTGTGTGTGTGTGTGTGTGTGAGAGAGAGAGAGAGAGAGAGAGAGAGAGAGAGGGAAGAAGAAAGGGGGGGAGATGGCTTCGTACCCTCGTGGTCGTTCACGATGGCGCAAACCTAACAAAGACCTGGGTGCGTGCGCGTGTGGATGAAAGGGAGAGAGAAGGGGGGGGAAGATTACTTCGTCCCACGTGGTCGCCCTTCCGATGGCACACACCTAACAAAGGCCTAAATGTGGCCTTAAGGTCTAAAAGAGACTGAGTTCGGCCCTACACAATCTGTGTCTCTGAGGCGTCTGGATAGCCGCGAGTGTATAGATCTCTGTGCGTAATGGCGCGGTGGTGGAGTTGGTCTCCAGATGTACGTTTACACGGGAATATGTGTGTATGTGTGTGCGTAGAAGGGGAAATAAAAGAGAATAAAAGAGAAATGCGTGCCTGAAGAGGCCGGATCACAGTCCGACTCCCGCGCCACAACTCGGAGTAATTCCCTTCATTCACAGAAACAAACCAATAGCCGAATTCAGGTTAATACAGCTTACACTGGCCTTTCTGATCAGAAGAGTAATACCCGGTTATAACGCTGTTACGCTAAACACATATAGGACGCAGCGGTCCGAAACAACAAGAGTTTTAAACAGTTAAAACTCAGGACGCAGGTCCAACAAAGATAAAAATTACAGTTTCTGCTTTGATCAACAATTGTTAAAAACACTCTCTAAAGCTAATTCTGCCCAGACCTAATTAAGCCTCACTTGTGAATCGCTTTGTCCGCGATTGGTGAAAGGAAAAGAGTCCGGCGATGGAGCAGATCTTCTGTCCGTCCTGGTGCAGAGGCGTCTGATGGCGGCGAGGGTCCCTTACGGCGAGAGCGGCTTCGTTGGTTCTCCGTCGAGTGGAAAGATGTCCTTTGATGTCCTTTCGTTGCAGGACGGAATAAGACCGTTATCTTTCTGATAATCTGTTATAGTCTGACGCTCTCCGAGAAACTGAGATGCGTTCACTGGACAATCCGAGCTCGGAATTTAGAACACTGCCGGCCGCGGATTACCTGCGCGCCAAAATTAAAACAAAGGAAGATTGTTGCAGGAAACAGGAGATCTTCTTGGGTCTCCGAGCACCAAGGTCAGCGCGTGAAAGAGGCGAGCAATGGAAGTCTTGGAGTTTTGTAGCCTGGCCTGCTCCATGGGGGTCTACCTCAGGTCCCCTCCAATGAGGAGAGAGAGGTTCCGGTCCCCCCTTTACTTCACACGTAGGTGTGAAGTACCGCAGGGGATTCTGGGATTAAGAGTCCTTTTAGGCCTCTTTGTGATCTCAGTGAATAACTCAAATGAGGCTTTTACAGAGGTGCAGGCCCAAGTCCATTGTTTGACTGTCCTAAGCCTGCGTGGCCCAACATCCCCCCTTTGTCCTGAAGAATGGGATTGCGGGTCGCGGTCTTTAGGGCAAATAGGGCCAACAGTCCATGTGTTAGGAGACAAATGTTCAAATAGTTAGTGAGCAAAAGTCTATACATTTTGAGAGGCATTCGGTCTGGGCAGACACTGAGGCAAAGTCTGGGCAGACTGTCTAACTATGTCTAAAGCTAGGCATAAAACATAACCAGGCATTAGCAAAGCTTTGCTACTCAAGGTGCATTCCTTAACAAAACAAATGAAACAAACAGACAAGAGGAGGGGAGAAAGAGAAGAGTATAAGGTGTAGATTTGTGGGCTAACTCCTAGCCTGGGCAGGAGTAAGCCTGTGGGAAGGTGTTTGTGGCATGTAGGTGTGTAAATGTACATGTACATTATGTGTCTCCCTACCAATGTCAAAACACAAAACAGGGACTAGGAAACATTCATGTCGGTAGAGTGACATTGTTGTGTTTCTAGAATGGAGGCTACACCCCCACTCCTATGTGGAGTCAGAATCGGGTTCTCTGTAAGCGAGGGAGTCCTTAGGGAGCTCGTAGGAACTCCGATTATACCTACCCTTCTGTCTCAGACTACGGCCATCCCGAGAGTTCCGTTCAGATCTGGTAGCGATCAGTTCTCCAGGCTGGAACCTACTCTGTGGTTGAGTCCCACCTTCACCCCCCTGGCTCTGTTCTCTATTCTGCCGGTGATATGGTCTCTTATTCTTAGCACAAGGCAACTTGTTGCCCTCACGTGACACGTGACGTAAGCGTGTCTGCCAAACCGCCTGTGCGAATCTCTTGATCTCTTTCATACTAAGCTGATGTGTACGACTATGCAGGGTGACATCTGAACGCACGCAGCCATGCAGATTGTGCATGAAGATGGACTTGAAAGTTGGGTTCTCTTCCAAACCTGGAGCCTCACGTCCCTGGAAATATGCAGATCTTAGTCGCCAGTAATAATCTTTGGGGGCCTCGTGCTTCTGGTGCAAGACACTGAAAGCACTAAGAAGGGCAGATGCAGGGTCAATGTAGGTGGAGTATTCCTGGCGCAAAGCATTGCAGAGCGCAGAGTACTGGTATCTGATCTCAGGCTGAAGGGTAGTCGTGAAGTTACGGACACTCTTGGAAGTTGTCTTCCAGATCAGCCTGAGTTTTTCTCTTGTGGATGCATCAGGTACCTCACTGAGACACAGGTTAATCTCTCTGAGGTAATCATCGATGCAGAGGTCTGAGTTATCTGGATCAAACCGCTCTACATCCTGTGCCATAGATTCAATGAGCCTTATGCGCATTCTTTGATCTCTGGGTAGAAGGGAGCCATCCCAGTCATCTGAGGTTTGGATATTCCTCAGCCGTGAATCCTGCAATGGGAACCTACAGGTAGCAGGAGGGGGCCTGGTGTTATCTCTGCCTCTGGGGGCTGAGAAGTCACCCCCCTTCCTATGTGGTGATTCAAACCTGTGAAGGTGTGAAAGGGTGTCACAGTTGTCAGAGAACTGGGGCGTTTCCCCAAGGAGCGGGGCTCCACAGTCAAAATCAGGGAAAACTAGACTTATTTCCTCAGTCCTTGGGTTATCCTGGCTGCTCGGTTCTTTACTGAGCTTTTTCAGCAGGGTTGTTTGATCTCTTAAGGGGCTTGGTCCAGGATCAGAGTCATATCCTGACGATATGTCTTGCTCCATGCTTACCTGTGCTCCCTGAATTAATTCAAACATGTCCAACACTTTCTGCTTGGCAGTTTGTAAGTGCTGACTAACAGATTTGTTTCCTTTCTGCAAGGATCGGACCTTTGGTGGGAGTGTCCCCATGAAATCACGGACACTCCTAGCCGTAGTCTTCCAGATCCGTTTCAGTTTTTCATGTGAGGACGCATGAGGCAGGTCAAGGAGACAATGGTCAACTTCTCTAAGGTAGTCGTTAATACTTGAATCTGGGCTATCTGGGTCAAAACGCTTCAGATCTTTGGCCTGAGGTTCTATCTGCCTGGTTCGCAGGCCCTGACCCGAAGGCTGGCAAGGGTCGTCCGATTCGTCTGACGAATCGTAAGCCCTGTGGTTGTCACGGTAGTAGGGTTGTAACCGTGGCGGGGTTTGTGTTCGGCTCAGACGTGGCCGTCTATCGTGGGACAGGTAGCGTTCGGTGCCCAATTGGGCCCGTGTCTCCTCCCTGTCTCTAGGGGGAGTAAAGCCTCTCTCCTGCGGGGTGAGGGTTCTCTTCGCTCAAAGCGTATTGCGGAACGCGGGGGCCCTTCATCTTTAATCATCCAGCTCTTTACCGGGTGGTCTGAGGACGTGGGCGCTTTTGTGCCTGGGTCGACCCGGCGGTGCCTTCCCCTCTCCTCCAGATCCTGCAACATGTCTGTCTCCCTCCTCCAGGGGCTTGTTTCAGTCTCCCATCCTTTGTCTGAGGTTTCCTCAGCTGATCTGGGGGCTGCAGTACTTATCTGCCTATCCTGAAATCTGGGTACCGTGTCACTTCGTTTCTTCTGTTCGGCCAGTTTGCTGCTTTCATGCAGTGTTTTATTCTCCTCCTGCAGGGCTTTGCAATTTTCCTGCAAGGTCTTTAGTTTATCCTGCATTCTTTCGAAGTCGTCCCGCAGGATCTGTCCTTCTTCTAGTACCCGGGCTAGCTGTTCCCGGTGTATCTCATTCTGCACATTTGATTTGCGCTGATAAAGGAGGAGAATTTCGCCTCGAACATCTGAAACTGTACGTGTTGGCTTCCCAGTTGGTTGATTTGCATATTCAACCAAGCCCTTTAGTTTCTTTTCACATGTGCTGATGGTGTAGGAGTTCAGGCTGTCGAGCTGCTCTATAGGGAGGTGGATAAGATTAGCAACTATGTCTTGAAGGGGTGGATCGTCTGATCCATAGTGAGCTTTGGACCATAGTTGATGTATGTCTTCTGCATACATTCTGTCTTTATTAGGGGTGAGCCTGGCTCTGTGGTTGACAAGATCAACTAGCTCTTCTTACTTCTTATCACTAATGCTAATTGACTAGCTATATAGGTTGACACTCTCCTCTAAGGAGAGGTTCGTCAGACCCAAAGGGGACAACAGTTATGGCTTTAACCATTAACTAACAACATACAACACAACTAAGCCACAGCTTGATGTCTGCTTTGCTTAAACCACAAAAATTTAAAAAAAATTTAATTTTCTTCAGAAGGATCCTTTTTAGGATTTAAGTTTGGATTACTGTGCATTTACAGTGCAATAAAGCTGGTTTATTGAAGACCTCACACGGGGCACCATTTGTTGGGGTTGTATCAAGTCAACTTTGGTTATATTCTTTAATAATTATACTTAATTATTAATAATATAAATAAAATATCATTAAACTATGTTTAATCTCGTTTTGGGGCACCAACCTGTAATCAGGTAAATATAACCAAAATATCACTCAAATCAGTCTCAAATTAGTTATTTAATTACTAATGTTATTAATAATGAATAACTATATTTAATAAATTGAAGGCGTGAAATCCGTACACAAAGCCTTCGCACCCAGCTTATATCACAATGCAAATACACCAGTAACCACAAACAACTGCTCTCTTAAATTATAACAGAATTTATTTAAACAAAGCAACATCAACCCAAAATCAATGAACTTAATTAAACAAATAACTATTATAAACTAATCTAAGCAACAAACATTATCAAGCAAAGGCTTGTGGAAGGGGTGTGAATGTAGGTGTGTGTGTGGGAGAGAGAGAGAGAGAGAGAGAGAGAGAGAGAGAGGGAGAGAGAGAGAGAGAGAGAGAGAGGGGAAGAAGAAAGGGGGGGAGATGGCTTCGTACCCTCGTGGTTGTTCACGATGGCGCAAACCTAACAAAGACCTGGGTGCGTGCGCGTGTGGATGAAGGGGAGAGAAAAGGGGGGGGGATTACTTCGTCCCACGTGGTCGTTCACGATGGCGCAAACCTAACAAAGACCTGGGTGCGTGCGGATGAAAGGGAGAGAGAAGGGGGGGGAGATTACTTCGTCCCACGTGGTCGCCCTTCCGATGGCACACACCTAACAAAGGCCTAAATGTGGCCTTAAGGTCTAAAAGAGACTGAGTTCGGCCCTACACAATCTGTGTCTCTGAGGCGTCTGGATAGCCGCGAGTGTATAGATCTCTGTGCGTAATGGCGCGGTGGTGGAGTTGGTCTCCAGATGTACGTTTACACGGGAATATGTGTGTATGTGTGTGCGTAGAAGGGGAAATAAAAGAGAATAAAAGAGAAATGCGTGCCTGAAGAGGCCGGATCACAGTCCGACTCCCGCGCCACAACTCGGAGTAATTCCCTTCATTCACAGAAACAAACCAATAGCCGAATTCTGGTTAATACGGCTTACACTGGCCTTTCTGATCAGAAGGGTAATACCCGGTTATAACGCTGTTACGCTAAACACATATAGGACGCAGCGGTCCGAAACAACAAGAGTTTTAAACTGTTAAAACTCAGGACGCAGGTCCAACAAAGATAAAAATTACAGTTTCTGCTTTGATCAACAATTGTTAAAAACACTCTATAAAACTAATTCTGCCCAGACCTAGATAGATAGAATAGATTGTTCCTAACTGGGTTTATTGACTCCAGTGTCTGAGACTGTCTCTGTTCTGTTTAGTATCTTTAAGTATTTGTTTTCTTTAAATCACTTTTTTTTCTTTGTTTTTTAAGAAACTTTATCTCCTCCTACCTCTCCGTTTGGGAACTTAATCTCTCCAAGTCTTCATGCTGACTTCGACAGAGGTGATACAGATGCAGATGTGATGAATCTCTCTGGAGAGGAAAAGATCTCACAGCCTGAGCACTCAAACTCTGAGGAGACAAAAGAACCAGAGTGTGTTGGTTTGTCTGATGAATCTGAACAGCCAGGTATGTAAACCTAAATGTCAAATCCTTCCTCAGCAGTATACCATTATTACAATGTGTGTTACATATTATAATGCCAGTACTTAAGATATTTTAGAAAATTCAGACCTTCTCACATGTTGGCACATTTGGCTGTTTGTTTCAATCAGATTCAGAAAGCTAGAACGCTCGCTCTATCAAACTTTACACACAGTACAGACGATTAGAGTATTTCTACAAGGTTCACTTTGTAACCTCTGAGAGACAAAACAAAGCATGCAACAGTACTTTCATTTACTTCTGGATTATTCTTAACAATAAAGACAAATGGTTCATTTATGAAAGCACATGATAAAAACTGGAGGAGGGACTTTATTTGTTACACCTAACTCATCACACAGACCGTGTCTCATTTAGGAAACCTCCATGAAGTAAGACTCATTGATTCAAACTAAAAGACTGTCTCTGAATATTTCAGTCCTTTACTAATCCTAAACAGACAGGTGCACTTTTTAAACTCTTTTGTATTCTTTGTACTGTTTATTTTAGAGCCAGAGAAGAATCAAGGTGGGGGTGAGAAATCATCTCCTGTCCCACCCACAGATCAATCTACAAAAACTACAATTTATTGTTTGTGATCTGTTTCAGGCTCAGATAAGAAGAAGGCTCAGGGAGGTGAAACCAGGCCTCTTCTTGGTCAGCGACTCAATAATACTATGAACCCCAATCACCCTGATAGCATGGTCAAAGAAGACACTGAATTACTCTTGGAAAAAGGTAAAAGCTGCTCAATATTAATTACTCATTTTTGTTAAAGGTTTATTTTGGGGCTTAATGACTTTATTTTGAGAAAGGTCAGTGGATAGAGTCAGAAATCGGGGAGAGAGAGAGAGCGGGGAATGATCCACAGGTCCATCCTGAACCCGGGCCCTCCGCCTGAAGGACCACAGCCTCCCCACATGGGGCGCACACACCAACCACCGGCGCCTCGTTAATTACTGCTTTTAAAAACTACTACAGCATGATTTACTCAGCTAAATAATATCTTTCTCTTATAACTTGGCTAACAGCGTGAGTCCTGAAAGAAGAACATTTCATATCATTTTATCATTTTCAATTTAAAACAATATGTTTTGCTCTTTTATTTTTATTTTAGGGCCTGTTTCCTTTAAAGTACAAAGTTGTTCATTTTTAAAGAATGGGTATCACTGGAACGCCGATAGCCTGGTGGTTGAGGCTGTGGTCCTGGTTGCAGCGGCTGTAGGTTCAGGTCTGACCTCGGCCCCGTTCATAGTTCATAATATCGCCTCACAGCCGAGCCTTCGGGCCAGAGTTCTGGGTTGTACATCTCTGCAAATTCATTGCACTCAGCACACACTTTAAACGAGCTATATCTGCTGCTTGCAGTGACAATACGCTGACGGTTAACATCACAGCCGAGTTGTTCAGGTAGATGTTTAGTCAGTGTCTCAGCATCTACTGGTGAGAATTTGGTGGTGAAAACACTTACTGTAGCTCTCTTCACAACAACAGACACAGGGTGGTTCTTTGAAACGGGCCTTTATTGCTGGAGCTATCTTTGCTCTATCTGCACAAACAAAAGTACATTTGACACAAAACAAAATCCTTGTTGGACCACTTGAGGTTCTTGACTCCTTTAAAGTCCTTGTAAAGTGTCTTTCACAGTCTGCTTGAACTTCAGACATCAGTGGTAACAGTCTTCATGTTCGTTTACATAAATAACGTGTGCTCACCGTACATGTCCGTCCCTTAATTCCGTCATAGTGGAACCAAAAACAAGGAACTTTAGTTCCACATAGAAACATAAGTATTTTAACATCCATGAAATATTATTTATTCATTTATCAAATACATTCAATTATGACAATATGAAATCATTTATGACTCATGAACTTTAAGGGCGTGGTCACACTGGTCATCTGTACCGTGCTGTACCCAAGCACGATTGCCCCCCGCTGGTCGGCACGGCCCGCGGTCATACTACACAGGACTATCTGTGCCTAAGCACGATTACCTCTTGTACATAACATCGTAATACAACACATGCACGCTTGAGAAAGAGAGAGAGAGAGAGAGAGAGAGAGAGAGAGAGAGAGAGAGACAGAGGAGTGAGAGAGAGAGAGAGAGAGAGAGAGACAGAGGAGAGAGAGAGTGAGAGAGACAGAGGAGAGAGAGAGAGAGAGGAGTGAGAGAGAGAGAGCGAGAGAGAGAGAGAGAGAGACAGAGAGAGAGAGAGAGAGAGAGAGCGAGCGAGAGGAGAGAGAGAGAGACAGAGGAGAGAGAGAGAGAGAGAGAGAGACAGAGACAGAGAGAGCGAGCGAGAGGAGAGAGAGAGAGAGAGACAGAGAGACAGAGACAGAGAGAGCGAGCGAGAGAGAGAGAGAGAGAGAGAGAGAGACAGAGAGAGAGATAAAAAAAAAAAGGCAGAGTCCGCGGCCGCACATCGGAGAACAACACAGAGATCATGACAGCTGCTTTGTGTCTTATATGTTATGTTAGTCTGTGTCTTATGTTAGTCAGACACAGACATGAAACTCGTGCATGAAGTGTAGCGTGCCTGAGCACGATACGGAGCGGTCACACTGGTCAAACGAACTGGACTTTAGGGCTGAAGCGTGCTTGGGCACGGTACGGATGGTCAGTGAGACCAAAGTTTATGTAACAACACTTACCATCTTTGTACGACCCACAGCAGCAGCCAGCTCTCACCAGAACCAGGCTCCAGCGGCAGCCAGCTCCCACCAGGACCAGGCTCCAACGGCAGCCAGCTCCCACCAGAACCAGGCTCCAGCAGCAGCCAGCTCCCACCAGAACCAGGCTCCAGCAGCAGCCAGCTCTCACCAGAACCAGGCTCCAACAGCAGCCAGCTCCAGCAGCAGCCAGCTCCCACCAGACCAGGCTCCAGCGGCAGCCAGCTCCCACCAGGACCAGGCTCCAGCAGCAGCCAGCTCCCACCAGGACCAGGCTCCAACGGCAGCCAGCTCCCACCAGGACCAGGCTCCAACGGCAGCCAGCTCCCACCAGGACCAGGCTCCAACGGCAGCCAGCTCCCACCAGGACCAGGCTCCAACGGCAGCCAGCTCCCACCAGGACCAGGCTCCAACGGCAGCCAGCTCCCACCAGGACCAGGCTCAAACGGCAGCCAGCTCCCACCAGGACCAGGCTCAAACGGCAGCCAGCTCCCACCAGGACCAGGCTCAAACGGCAGCCAGCTCCCACCAGGACCAGGCTCCAACGGCAGCCAGCTCCCACCAGGACCAGGCTCAAACGGCAGCCAGCTCCCACCAGGACCAGGCTCCAACGGCAGCCAGCTCCCACCAGGACCAGGCTCAAACCAGCCAGCTCCCACCAGGACCAGGCTCAAACGGCAGCCAGCTCCCACCAGGACCAGGCTCAAACGGCAGCCAGCTCCCACCAGGACCAGGCTCAAACGGCAGCCAGCTCCCACCAGGACCAGGCTCAAACAGCAGCCAGCTTCCACCAGGACCAGGCTCAAACAGCAGCCAGCTCCCACAGCAGCCAACTGTTGGAGCAGCTAACACAACACTGACATTTGGCCAATCAAAAAAAGTGCAGAACAATAAAAAGAAAGAGAGAGAGAGTGCAGGCTCCGTGCAACCACAGCCTCTGTATTATAAGGCTCTGCTTTCAACATAACAAAACACCCTTTTAAAAAAATCCTTCTCGACTCCTGCGCATAGTTAAGACAGCAAAATAGAGCAGAATCACATCAGCTTCAGAGCAAGAGAGAGAGAGAGAGAGAGAGAGAGAGAGAGACAGAGAGAGAGAGAGAGAGAGAGAGATAAAAAAAAAAGGCAGAGTCCGCGGCCGCACATCGGAGAACAACACAGAGATCATGACAGCTGCTTTGTGTCTTTGCTCTTCAATTTTGAACGCCAATTCCTTAGTTTGGATTCATCAAGATGGCCATCCGGTTAATCTGAGTTGGAAATCAACGCATCAAAAGACTCTTTAATAATTTCTTTCCTGTTGGATCCTCTTGGAGCGTCTGAGACAACGGCTGAACCGACGTACAATCTCCATCCCAGCTGCACACTCCGACCAAGCTGTCAAGGCATCTAATCTGGCCCGTGGACCTCTCTGGGCCTGAAAAGAACCGCTTGCCAGAGACTGAAACGCGGGACCAGCCGGCAGAGTTCAATCGAACACATCTCACAGTAAGACTGCTGGTGGCAAGGGGTGTTGGAAGATTAAGTCTTGAGTCGTGTCTATTCAGAGCCCTCCTTTAAATCCAAATAGAATCCCAAAATTCTTTTATCAACTTTTTCTTTTTGACCATTTTCTGATTAAGTCTTTCAAACAATACCGCGTCTTATCTCATTACTAAATATATAATGTCACCATACATTATAATTGCATTATCCTGATCATAATAATCATATTCTTTATCTGTTTCATCGATACATTATTGTTTACCCCTTTTATATTAAATTTGATCCATAAAATTCAGGACTTTGTGTGTTTTCTTGTTTAACATTTCCAGAACTTACTTCTTTCAAGATGTGAAAATGACTGATTAATTAATTAACTTATACCATTAAAGTTATTTTCTTCCTTTAACAGGAAGTGGTGCCCCTTCTTAAATCCGAGGTTAAATAAAGATATAACATCTTAATAATTTAATTACGCTACACATACAAACACTGAAAACATAAAAATAGAGCAAAGCAGGACATACAGTATGTAGACAATATGCTAAAATCAGGACAATTCACTATTCACTACAAATCTTTCTGACATCAACGCATTTCTGAGTCTCAATTTGTATCTAGAAAAAGACAAAAAATCATCAAGTAAATAAATATGCGTGTTCCATAATTTGACTCCACGGTATCTTATTGAGTCCTCGAGATGTACGACACATTGGTAGGTAGAGGTTATTGGTTTGTCTAGTTGAGTAATAGTTCACTTGAGAATTAAAAATGTAAAATGCTTCAAAGCTTTCTGGCAAGTTTGCACTCTTTAAAATAAAGCTACTTATTTGAAGAGTATTGATATCAAAGATTGTCAATATGTTACACTTCAGAAAAAGAGGGGCGGTTGCCATTCTGACAAAACGTTTCTGGAGTAATAGAATTTTATGAAGATATGTTTGGAAAGTGCTGGCCCATACAATATTTCAATAAGTAAGATACGGATATATTAGGCTGTAATATAATGTTGAGATACAAGAAGAGTGTAAAAAAACACAGATGTTTCTAATAATCCCCAGAGATTTTGTAACCTTACTACAGACAAAGCTGATGTGATCTTTCTATGTAAGTTTCTCATCAATTAAGATCCCTAAGAATCTTGTTGATGTTACTTTAGTCATTTCTTCACCATTTATATACAATTTCACCATTTCAGAGTTATAGTTAATTTTTCCAGCAAATATCATGAAGTTAGATTTTTTCACATTTAATGCCAATTTATTTGTTTTAAACCATTTTGAATATTCAAGAAGGCCATCATTTACTTCATTCATGAGTTCTGACAATTTTTTATTGGAGACAAGTAAATTAGTATCATCTGCAAATAATAATGGGCATATTGTGTTTGATACTGTTGCAAGATCGTTAATGTATATGAGAAACAGTAACGATCCTAAAATGGACCATTGTGGGACCCCACACTGCATCATAGTGCTCTCAGACTCTACACCATTTATGTTGACTTACTGCTGTCTGTTATATACATAATTACTGAGCCACTTCAGGACATTTCCATTAAATCCATATCTATATAGTTTAGCGAGTAAAATTTCATGATTTACAGCATCGAATGCTTTAGAGAGATCCAGAAAAATACCACATGAAAACTCTCTTTTCTAATGCAGAATGAATCTTGTCCACTAGTTGTAAGAGGGCCATATAGGCAGAGTGATTTTTTCAGAATCCATACTGGTGTTCATACAGTATACAATGCATGTTCAAATGTTTGAGGATGCGTTTATATACTAGTTTTTCTAAGAGTTTGGAAAAACATGGAAGAACTGAGACGGGACGGTAGTTTGTAAAATGTCCTGGATCACCCGATTTAAAAAGTGGAATAACCTTTGCCAGTTTAAGATCAGAAGGAACAGTACCAGTTTCCATGGACATCGTAAAAACATGCAACAGCGGTTTCAATATTGATCTTTTTACCTCTTTAACAAGGGTTGCACTAATGCCGTCATGACCCGGGGCAGATTGTTTTAGCTCTATAATAATGTCATTTATCTCATTACAGTTAAGAGGTTCAAACGAGCAAAATGATGGAAAGCTACCTCTGATATAATCGGTTGAACTTTCATTTGTGTTTCCAAACTGCTTAGAGATGGAAGTTCCCACATTCACAAAAAACTAATTGAATTTGCGAGCAACATCGAAACGACTCGTGATGGATGTTTTCTCATCGGAAAAACTAAGCGGAAAAATTGTTGATGGTTTTTTCTTTTGGAGTAGCTGATTTATAATTTTCCATGTAGCTTTGATGTTCCTTGCAGAATTCTTTAACTGCTGACTGAAAAATCTTTTTTTGGCTACTCTAAGAAGATGATTATATTTATTCTTATACAATTCATAATTTGCTTGATTTAGGGGTGTAGGACATAAAATATATCGTTTATAGAGTTGGGTTTTTTTTAAATAATTTTTTCAAGCCAGCAGTAAACCAAGCATTATAATTATTATCTTTATCCAACCTTTTCGAGCAAGTTATTAAAGGAAAACTTTTATAGAATACTGAATTAAATGAGTTCATAAATATATTGTAAGCCAAATTAGCATCACTCTCCTTAAAAACATTTTCAAAAGATACCTTTTCCAACATATCTTGAAATTTGCGTATGTTACTCTCGTTGAAATTCCTATAAGTTCCTGTGACAACTTCATTTTTGGTCTTAGCTCCATCCATCATTGTAAGTTGGAAGACTGGAAAATGATCTGAAATATCTGAATATAATATTCCTGGAACTGACATATTCTGCATGGAATTTGTCAGTATATTATCAATCAAAGTTGCCGTTTTATTTGTTACCCTGGTTGGTTTACTAATGGTTGGATAAAAATAATTAGCATATAAATTATTCAGGAAATCTTCAGTCAGACAGTGAGTCTCCCCCATAAAAAGGCTGATATTAAAGTTCCCAAGGATGTAGCAGGTTATTTATTAGTTCCAGTGTAGTGTTCAAGCTATCATTAAAACTATTTATGTCTGTGTCTGGTGGTCTGTAAATACAGCCTACAATCACATTTTTCCCAGAATCGTAACAGGAGATTTCAGTAAACACTGATTCTGTATCAATTTGATGAGATTTGAGGGAAATATCAGATCTATTATTAAAACTGTTTTTTATGGACATAAACTGAAACGCCACCTCCGATTTTATGTTCCCTAACAAAATGAATAGAGTTATACATAGACAGTTCATATAAATCCTTAGTTTCTTCAGTAAGCCACATTTCTGTTAAAGCAACTACTGAGAAGTCATGTTCTAAGAGTGATAGATAATGCAAAAGCTGGTCATAGTTTTTTGGAAGGCTGCAGGTATTGAAATGCAATAGTGAAAAAATATTTGATTTTGTTGAAAGTGACTTGATATAGGCTATAGCGGCTAAGCCTAAAACTTAAAGCCACTGAGGGGCTACATAGACGGGCTAATCTAGTCTATTAATTGACGCGCTTGCTGCTTCGCTCCTGAGCGTAAGAATTAACAAAAAAGGCAGTCCAATATCTTCTTTGTTTAGGAATATTTATTTCTCATTCCATCATTGTC